GGGTCTCTATCCGATTCATGATTACAGCGCCATCAGCATGCTCACGGTCGGTCCGTTTCATTCCTGAACGTTTTACGTGAGCAAAATGACGTCATGGATTTTTGAATTTACATGCTCACGGTGATGATCCGGAGATGGGTCGGCGTGAGCGTTCTCTTTATTTGCGCGGGAATAGAGGACTAATATGAATTGTTAATGTGAAATAGATGCATCGACGTAGTATATATATAATCGCTTATAAAAATAATTAAATATAATTGATAATAATATAATAATAATTAATAATATTAATTGTTTTAATAATTATTATAAAAATAATTGAATCAAGGTTAGAATCGTCGATTATCCATTTTTGACAACAAAAATTTATACAACGTCGAACGTCGTTTGTATCAGTTCTTTCCAAAATGACAGATACTCGCATACCATTCCAAATTTATCTTGAGGATACTAAAGAGACTATAATTCTTCAATTAACGGCAGCAGAAGCTGAAAGAGCAACTAAAGGTAAGAAAATATAAGATATAAGACTAACATTTATAGGTTAATTCATTGTAATTTTAATATTTTTGCTTTTCTCGAATAATAAATTTACAGATAATGCATTTGTATTAAGATTAATAAACCAACACAATGCAAGGCGAAAGAAATCAGTTTTACAGATTTATGAAACCATGGATAACGAAATTGATACTTATATGCTTGATGAAGATACATCTTCTGCTTCATGTTCATCTGCCTTAGAAACAGATCCCTTGCATGTCTCATCTAAACATGTACAATCAGTAAAATCGACACAAAATGTCAAAGAGTCAACTGGTGCGTATAAATTAATGGATCTATTCTGTAACTCTTAACGACTCTAACGATATCATTAAATTATTATTGCGCAGCTATTTTGCAATATACAAAATCTGCGCAATGATAATGTAACGATATCGTTGCAGTCGTTAAAAGTTATAGAATATGCCCTTAATGGTGTTAAATAATTTTATTATTGTCTTCTGATTAAATTATTTTTTGGATTTCTTATAGAAAATGACAAAACTTTATTTCTATGGTCTTCAAAGAACGTATATTTGCTCTTGGAAAAATATGAGGAACGAATGAATGAGTTCTCTTCAGGTACAAAACGTCATTCTAAAATCTGGGAAAGCATTGCAAGCGACATGAAGAACGTTAATCCAGAATTTACAGCGTCAGGCATACAATGTCAGTCAAAAATGAATAGCATGAAAAAGATGTTTAAAAAAATCATAGATCACAATAGTGTGTCTGGAAATGATCGAAAGTCATGGCAATATTTTGAGGTATATTATAATGCATGTTTTTTTTTCTATGCACAAATAGATGTAGGTAGCTCTAATATAATTTTATTTTTAGAGAATGGATGAATTATTCGGAAAATCAGGATGGGCGTATCCGAAAGTAACAGCATCAGAGGCTGGGCTTTCATGTGAAAGTTCAATAGATGAGAATTATGATATTAATAAACCAAATGCTAAGAAGCCAAAGTCTGAAAAAGTTTTAGATGAATTTATAAAGCAAATGAAGCAAGATAGGCAGGAAAGAGAAATGATAAAAGAGAAAAGGAAGTTAGCTGTATTACAGGAACTAAAAGAAGAAAAAGAAAAACAACATAAAGAAAAAATGGATATAATGAAAAAGTTTTGCGAAGCCGTTGCAGGCAAAAAATTATTTGACTAACTCTTTTTATACACAGATTTTATTACAGATTTTATATTCTTTGATTTTTACTGTGATATTGTTTGCAATATTGCAGAAAAGTTCTAACTTGCATTGGGATCCTATTGTGTGCAATTCTTAAGTTAATTTCAATGTTTTCAAATTCTTAGTTTCTATTTGTTTTTTTTATTTATTATGATTTCATACATGGTGTAAGATGATTCAAACTAGTCCCAAATTAACAGTAATTATTAATTGGGTATCTTTTTTTCTTTAATGGCTATGTATAAACTGCGGATTTGTTCGAACTGTTAAAACAGATATTATTTGATCGCTCTTACACACATACACACATGGAAGATATTATGTTTTTTGATTTTTATTATGATATTCACTTATTGTTAATCTGCGATATTGCAAGAAAACTCTGAGTTCCTATATAGTTCCTATATTATACAAAAGTACGCATTAAACAAGCCTCATAATTAAATTGTTCATTATCCTTTGTCGTTTTCTATTGCCCTCATCTACTTTACTTGATGTTAAAGTATCACGCTGGATATGTTGATTTACCACCACGTTGACATCAACTAAATCCTTATTCAAAATATAAATATTATGCAAGACTGCAGTTGCTACTAAGTATTCCGGTATTTTCTTTAAAGTAATCATAGGCAAGCAATCCAAAATACTCCTCCAACGTCCTTTCCAAGTACCAAAGAGTCGTTCAATATGAATACGTGTTGAAGATTGACAAAAATTAAAGTTCTTGTGCCTATGACTCAAATGACCATTGTCTTTAAATGGTACCATCATATTTGGATGGATACCGTAGGCAGCATCACCAACAAGATGACTGTCATTAGGAAAGTAAATTTCTGAATTCTGAAAATATCGAGCTACTGGGGAAGTTCTGAAAACTCGAGCGTCGTGCACAGATCCAGCGTTTCTAACAAAAATGTTTGTAAATAATAAATTTTGTGTACACACAGCCTTTAAATAAAACAGCATTTATGTTTACAATAATACATAAGAATATTGAGAATTGTTTAACAACTTCATGAAACATTACCTGTACATGGATTGATGGATATCCTTTTCTATTTATATAAGCTTGATGATCATCGCCTTGAGGAGATCGTATCTCTATGTGTGTGCCATCGATGGCTCCTATCACATTTGGAAATCCACTTA